GTTTATTAATAACTTTCTTATATCGAGTGGATTTATTATAGACTGGTTTTGGCTTGAACTTTCTTATATCGAGAGTTACTTGTAATATAATAATAGCGTTGACTGTTATCCCAATATGTCAACTTCCAAGCAATAAAAAAGAATTAACATCAGAATTCTTAATTTTTACGTATTACATGCATTTCCGTTAAGTTGCACGAATTATCAGAGAAAAAACAAATCTGCACAAGATGCAGATTATTCGATTTTGGAGTGTGCTTTATTCTTTAATCAAAGTTATATAAAAATAAAATGATGTATAAAAATTAAAAAATAAAAAAATAAAAAAGTGAAATGATATATTAAAAAATAGTAATAGAATTTAAAAATTAAAAAAAATTAAAAAATAAAATAAATAAATAAAGGTTAAAAAAAAAAAAAAAAATAATAGGCAAAAAAATAAAATTAAAAATTAAAAATTAAAATTTATAAAAAACAAAAATATACTGTAGAACTAATTAATAGAATATAAAAATTAAACCATTTTTAAAAAAATAAAAAAAGCAAATAATAATAGTAATAAGAATAAACTGATTTGGGTCACGTTGAACCAAAAGTTTTGGTTCAAAGAGACCCGATTCGGGTTACATTGAACAGGAGTTGGTTCAAAGAAACCCGATTTGGGTTATGTGAATCAGAAGTTGATTCAAAGAGACCCGATTCGATTACGAGGAACCAGGAGTTGGCTCAATGATGAAAATGTTCTATTGAATTAACTGAATCAGATGAAAATTTGAACCAGATTTCGGTTCAAAGAGACCTGAAATGGGTTGCTTCAAACCACAGATTTCCGAACTGGGTCTCTTTGAACCAGAAATTAGATTCGAAAAATTAAATTTATTTTATGTTAACCTGGCAACACTTAAGGCCTGGGAGTTGGATAAAACTTTAATAACTAAGATAAAAAATTTAGAATCTCACTCTCGGGGCAACGCCCGGGTCCTGAGTGCTAATGGGCGGCGATTTTGTATCTCTATAAAATTTGAGTACGATAGAACTTTAACAGAGGTCTCACATATGCCCTGCGTAAGCGTGCATATGTGAGACCTCTGTTAAAAATTTTTGAATATACTTCGCGTAGTCGCGTAGGGTACTGCTGAACGACTAGATCACGGGACGTTCGATTTTTCGCATTTCTACGTGATCTGTGTAACGTGACAACTCAATTATTTATTTCCCACAAAGGCGAGAATAAGAGATAAATCCCGGTCATCTGGTCTTCGGGCTCCAGCAGGCCGGAGACTAACCGGATTATTTTGTGAAATAAGAGTATTATTCTTCGTTTTTATATGATGCTATGATGGGCTTTACGACTCATAATTACTTTGATCAATAAAAAAAAAATCGAGTTTTTAACAATGCTTGTTATTTCCTCGGCAACGCTTTATTTCCTCGGAAATAACAAGCATTTTCTAGAAACTCGATTTTTTTTATTGATTAAGTATTAATTTTAAGTTGTAAAACTCCGTCATGCGATCAATAGAAACGTGAAATAATATATACGAGTCTTAAATTCATTCACTGATAATAAATATGGTTAGTAATACTGTATTATACGAAATTTTTTTTTTGTCCTCTAAACAGAGGTTATTCATTTTACATAATCTTCGTTCTTCTTATCGAAAGATGAAACCCTGCTAATTTATTGCATAATAATAAAGGAAACCATGATTTTGAGCGCACATCCGAGACTTGAGGACAGAAAATTCTTAAACTTTTTATTGCAAAGGTCAAAAAAAAACTATATGTTAAACATAAGACCAAATAATGCACGAATTAAAAAAAAAAAAAAAATTTGATAGTAAATTCCTAAAACCGCGTATACATAAAAATGAGGAACAGCTTTATACTGTATTAATCTAAAAAATAATAACTGTTTAAAGATTTTGAACTAAATATTGAATTCAAGTTATATTCTATATTTAAAAAACCGAACTTGAATATAAATACATCTTAAGTATTTGAATTTAAATAAATTCTTTGATACGAATAAATAAAAGAAAAAATTCACGGATTGTTCTCTTTTTGAAAAATCGCGAATTCATAAGTTTCATGTTAATCAAAACCACACTCAACTCAGATCAAATTTTAGGCGATTACATACCTGATTTTGGTGACGGGTAACGAACTTAATGAATTTGAATACGTATATGCGTAACATAGTTTATATGTATAAACATAACGAATATGCGTAACATAGCGAATACGCATAATATCGATATAATGTAACATATATGCACATAATAAATAATTTACAACAATTCTACCTTATATAGTTTAATGGTAAATAAATAAATGTACATGCATTAAGCTATTTTAGCTTTGAAAAAAAAAATAATTTTTTTATCAAAAAAAATTTTTTTTTAATCAAAAATATTATTTTAATAGGTTCTTTTTTTAAAAAATAATATTATGTCAGAACCAGAACAATCAACAAGCAACAGTTCTGCGATACCAAAGTCTACAATACCAACAGTTAATCAACCAATACCTTTAAAAATACTCGCTATAGGATCGGCTTACGAAGATACGATACTTTACGTAGACAAATTCCCTCCTGAAGATGGTAAACAAAGGGCTCAAAGAGTTGAAAAAAGAAGAGGTGGTAATTCAGGAAATACTCTTACTGTTTTGTCACAGTTTCCTAATGTAGGCGCATGGTTTATGGCTTCTATGGCTTCTAAAGAGGCATCTACGTAAGTGATTAGATTTGCAGATCCAGAGAAACTTATATTTATCGGCCTTTTTTAGTAAAAATTATATTAATTTATAATTTACACATATACATATTTGTTTATATGTTTTATCATAGATTTTTGATTCAAGATTTCGAAGCACACAGTATAAAGACTACAACATGTATATTTAGGTCTAGTGCAACGCATGCCCCAGTTGCTTATATTATTCATGCTGATAATACAAGTTCAAGAACTATTATAAATTATAACAGGTAATTTTAGCTAATGTTATCTATTATCCTTATATATATATAAATTTTTATTTTTCTCTTAATCCTTGATCAGCATAGATGAATTAACATTTGAAGAATTTCAAAAAATATTTGATGATACCTGTTCAGTAGATAATTCATCTATACCTTTTAATTGGATTCACTTTGAAGGACGTAATGCAGCTGAAGAAGCAAAAATGATTGATTATATTGATACTAAAGATTGGAGAAATAATGCTATTATAAGTGTTGAATTTGAAAAACCTTTTAGAAGAGGATTAGAAGTTTTAATTGATAAGGCTGATGTTTTATTTTTTTCCAAGGTATTTGCTGAAGGTAAAGGATATGATCATGCAGATGAATTTTTGCAAATTATGGGTCCTTATTGTAAAGACACGTATGTTTGTTTATTTATGTTATGAACTTCTCATATTTATTAAAGCTATCTAGAGCATATATTGACTTTTCATCTTTTTCTCATTTTTTTTTATAATGCAATATAGCGCCCTTTTATTTTGTACTTGGGGTTCGTCCGGTGCAATGTGCTTTCACAATCCAACTAAAAAGTTTTACTCTGCACCGGCTTTAGCAATACCAAGTGTAGTTGATAGTGTAGGTGCTGGTGATACATTTAATGCTGGTGCTATATACAGTTTATCGCAGGGAATGTCCCCTGAAAGTTGTCTAAGATTCTCTTGTGAGTTGGCAGGTAGAAAATGTGCTCAGAGTGGATTTGATGGTATTGTTGAGAAAATGAAATTAGCTGCAATGAAAAGGGAAGAAAATGCTGCAAACAAGCAAATGATTTGAAAAATTTTTACAAATTAGTTTTAACTTTTTTTTTTTTTTGAAAGGCGATTATATAACTTATTACTAACATATTTTTTAATTTAATGTTACTCGTGTAAAAAAATAAACTAGTACCTATTATAGATGAAAGTTAGTGAAATTTTATAAATTTGTTTATAAAAGTATTAATAAAATATAATATGAGGTCCATTTCGGACTGTATTTATATCTTGAGATCCTTTATCTCTGAATTAATCTCTCATAAGAATAAGGAAGATATGGAAGGTAAAAGAAAATAGAAACATGCCTGACATACATTAATATACGCACAAATTCAATAATAGAATAAAGATCATAATTAAAGATGACTCCCAAACAAAGTTGAAATAGGTTTAAAAATAATGTATAGATTAGTACAATCTGGTGCGATCCAGAGCAGATTGAAATAAAATGTGAAATTTAATTTACCGTATTTTTCGCGAAATAACACCCATCGGCACGTCATTTCGAGAATATGCGCGTCATTTAGAGTATGCGCATGGGCGTTATTTTGGGACAACAATAAAATTTTACACAAACGCAAGCTATATATAATTATTAGTTGAAACCCTTATATGGTGTGCGCGTTATTTTTGGACGCGCAGGGTGTTATTTTGAAACCATGCATGCTATTTTTAGGAGGCACGATTTTCTAAATAACGTTATTTCACGAAAATACGATATTTGAGTGGTTGAAGATTGAATCAACCCATTAACAACCCTTGTCAAAAGTATAGATGCAGACATTTGAAAGGTCAAAGCTACCTCTTTACGTCACCTCACGTCATATAAAATTTGAGTAGTTATGTCAATACGCCACTACCTACGTCATGCCATATGTTTATTGATATTCTAATGTCTGCGACTCTAGTCAAAATACTAATTTGAATCTAACGATTAACTATGCTAGGTAAATAGAAACTATTAAAAGTCCGAAGCAAACAGGCATTTCGGTTTGGCCAATCAAAATACGTAATTTGCGGACACACACCTACCGTAATGCAGCATGGTGGACAAACCTCGTAGCACAAACTTCCCACGCTGACTCAGGGTCGATCTGTCCAATAAAAGTATGATATTTACCGATCACATGCACAATTTTTAAACAGTTTATAATAATTCGAAAGATTTTTATTTACTAGATCAAGTATATCTCACAATCCAGTAGTCAGAATTTGATGAAGCTTATCCCTTAATCCGTATGCAAAATAGGGGCAAATTTGCCCTGAATTTTTTAATATCATTTTTACATCATTTAAGTATAATTAATATATTATAAATCGATTCCAAAATCAGTAAAAAACATTAAAAAATATATATTTAATAAATTTATTCATTGTTTACTATGAAAATCTTTAAAACAATTTGGTCTTACTATAGAGCAACAAAGAGGTACATTACATTTAATGCACCAAAATTGAGTTTGGGAAATCGCACAATTTTTTTTTTTTTTTTACCTTGGTCATTTTTTTTTTTTAAATAACAACAATATAGACATGATTCTCTTTTTCTACGCCATTCTACTAGATGATTCCCTGGAGAAAGTCGATTTATAGGTAGGTTAAAATTTTTAGTAACATGTGCGATTCTTTTATTTTTTAGTGGTGATTTTAATGAAGCTTTTTTTTGTTTTAATTGACCCTGAGTTATTCTATTGCTACTACTTTCATTATCTATAGCTTCTTGAAATAAATCTTATACAAGAGCAATTCGGAAGTCTTTGCTTGCAATCTTTGTATTTGTAACTTTGCAATAAAGAATAATACTATTAACAAGAACAGTGTCTAATAATCAAAAAAATAAAGGAAACCAAGTATGACATGCTGTTAATTGACAATTATAGTAACCTCTAAGCTGATCTGCAAGATCAACATCTCCCATATAATTATTATAATCATTAATTACTTGTGGAATAGGCAATGCTTTTCGTGACATATTGCCAAATACCTGACGAACCTTATTTGCATTAGTACTTGTTTTACGAGGGCGTCGTCGATTTCGAATAACTTTTCATTCATCACCCATAATTCTATAAATAGTTGTAAGCATTGTTACAGGCCCATTATCAATTTATAATACTACTAAAACATTATCTGTAACTACTCCACTTAGTGTATTTCAATCTAATAAGTAAGCATTATTAATTTTTAACTCTCTAGAAAATTTTGATGAATTAGTTCGAACAGTTCCACATGCACCTAGATTATTTTCATGTAAATATTTAAAAAGAGAAATACTTGAAAAATAGTTATCCATATAAATATGAAATGTTTTTTCCTGAGGAAGCTGGTTTGCTAAATGATATACTATGCATCCAGCTTTATTAATATTAGTGATTAACTCTAACTCCTTATTATCTTCAACTCGAAAACTAAACATAAATATATATATATATCCAGCATCACATAGAGAATATATTTTGTTGCCTTTAGATATTGGCTTGTTTTTCATTTTTACAGTATGTATGCTTTGACCAAAAATATGAACTATTATTTTATCTACAGAAACTTGTAAACTAGGTATATATAACTTTTTAAATGTATCTCGAAAATGTGATACTAGTGGCTCTACTTTAGAGTACCAAGTTAAATTAAAACTATTTGGATTAGAAATATGAAGATATCATTTTATTTGTTCAAATCTATATGTTGACATAAATTGTTTAATACTATAAATAGCTTCTTGTTCATCTGAATTCCACAAATTATCTATATGATAAATTTTGTGAACACCCATATAAATGACTATTGCAATCCAAATTTTTAACTCTTTTAAAGTTAACAAATGCCAAATACGACCACCTTTTTTAATCTATTAACTCGATTTAACTTTTTATAATTATTAGTATTATTAACAATTAATTAATAATAATAATTAGTAAAAAATAGATGAAACAATGTAAGTGGACTAATAGTGCCTTGCTGTATTTCATATGGCAATATAGCATAACTTCTATGAAGCTCATTAACATTTTCCATTTGATCAAATCCTGGTAATTCTGGAAGTGTTAGTATTTTATTTAACTTACTATTCTTTCTTTTATTTGTTTTTTCACTTATTTTTTTTTCCCCTTCCCACCTGCCCTATATTTTTCATTTCGTTTGTAAGTAGATTTTGCACTTTCTTCATATTTAGAATCTGTGGCATAATCTGTCATAACTAAATCTTCAGAATCTGTGACATAATCTGTGATATAATCTTGTTCTTCAATCATAAATAAATCTTCATAATCTATTGTGTAATTAATTCTTGTCTCTCCATGATTATTATGCTTAAAGGTAAAATATTGCAAATCAGAAGAAGAATCATTGGCAGCATCATCGTACTCATTATTAGAAGTGTCATTATTAGTACTACTATCACTATCGGCCATAGTATAAGTGGTTTTTTTTTTTTTTAAAAAAAAAAAAATGTGAAAATTAAAAGCATCGATCTTTTACATTAAAGAACATTTTAGAAGTTTATTGAACCTTATTATTTTTTATTTGCAGCAAAGATACATAAATATTGGTGTAGCAGTTATGTTTGTGTGCATTGTGCCACAAACATGGGGGTACATTTGTAAATTTTAATGGTAGCATGAGATATCTGCCGGGAATCTGAAAATCAGGGCAAATTTGCCCTGAATACGGATTAAGAGATACTATTTGATTTATTTTATTGAGACGAATCTAATAGTATAAAAATTATTAAATTCTATCTATTTGATCATAAGATATCTTCGATCTTATTTTAATAAAACGTAGTCTTTTATGAGCATTTCTTGCTACTTTGTTTTTTTAATGTATTTAATTGCTAGTTTTTGAAAGATCACCAAAATAAAAAGTACTTTAACGCATATAAAAAGTTAGAAAAATTTTTTATTCAATTATAACGATCATCACCAAATTCGGGTTTGTCCACCATGCTAATAAATATACAAACGATTCGGCTAGTGTGTCATGTGAAATTAGGGAACTGCGGATCTCGAAGTCAGGGATCCTACACCAACTACCCCAGCTTTTTACTGATCTGCAATCTAGAATATTCTTAGTATTAACATTCGTATTAACGTTAATACAAACGTTAATATTAATGTTAATACGAACGTTAATATTAACGTTAGTATTAACGTTAGTATTATATCAGCAAAATATATAAATATAATCTTACGTAAGTTATTACGGACCGAAAACGTGCGAAAGAATTTCGAATCGACACGAAATCTTACGCAATATTCAATTACAGAATATTATGAAATATATACGTAATTTATTACATAATATTACGTAAAATATTTTGAAATAAATTGAAATAAACCGCAACATTGTGAAATAATTTAATATAATTAGCGTCAGAGATAACGTAACTTTATTTTAATTATAAAAAAAATAATCAAACCAAATCGATTTTATTTAAAATAGATCGCAATAATTCGAATTATATCAGATTAATTCGAAATAAATTTAAATAAACAAATCCATATTATATAGAAATATACTTTAATAGTCATAATTTTTGTTTTATTTACAATAATCTGAATTAATTTAAAATATACTAATATAACTAAACAATATAAATTTATTTAAAAAAAAACTTATTTTATTTTATTTAAAA